TGATGGTCTGTTACTATTTTAAAGTGTCTTCCATAAAGGTAGGGCCGTAATTTTGACATTGACCAGACATTCTTTTTCAGTTGTTGAATAATTTTGTTCCGCTTTACTTAGGGTACGACTCAAATATGATATCACCTTTTCTTCACCACCGATGTCTTGGACAAGTGTTGCACCTATGCCGATGTTGGACGCATCAGTATGAACATAAGTAGGCGCATTTGGATTGAAGTGTCCAGGTAAGTGATACACCTTTTTTTATAAGGTTGGTCAAAGGGTCAGCAATTTTTGAGAGGTCTTTGATAAATTTTCTATAAAAAAATATGAACACATTCCCAAAAAGGATTGTACTTCTTTGATCTTTTTGGGCCGAGGAAAATTTCTGACAGCTTTGATGTTATGTTCCGCGGGTTTTATACCATGTTTGCTCGTTATATAGCCGAAAATCTCCAATTCTTCAAAAGCAAATCGGCATTTTTTGTCGTTTAACCTTAAATTAGATTCACGAAAACATCTTAAAACAGCTTCGAGTCTTTTGAGGTGCGTTGGAAAATCCGGGCTATATATGATAACATCATCCAGATAACACAAACAAATTTGCCATCTCATATTTCTAAGCATATTCTCCATATTTCTCTCAAAGGTAGCAGGCGCGTTACAAAGTCCAAAAGGCATCACGTTGAAATCATATAATCCATGCGCTGTAGTGAAATCTGTTTTCTCTTTGTCTCTCTCTTCGACTTCAACTTGCCAATATCCAGATCTGAGGTCTATTGCTGAGAAGTGTGTAGATCCTTGGAGAGTATCCATAACTTTGTCTATTCTAGGGATCGGATAGACATCTTTTACTGTCACATTATTCAGTTTTCTGTAGTCCACACAAAATCTGTATTTACCATCTCGCTTCTTGACCAATATTACTGGAAAAGACCAGGGGCTAGAAGATGGCCTAATTATGCCTTCTGTAAGCATCTCGTCAATTTGCTCTTTTATAATATCTCGTTCTTTAGCACTTACCCGGTAAGGCTTGTGTTTAATTGGCTTCGCGTCTTCTGTGTCTATCCGATGTTTTGCCAAATTGGTTCTCCCTAATCTCAACGAAAACAGATCTCCATACCTTTCTAAAACTTGTTTTAACTCCTTATGTTCCTTTGGTGAAAGATTTTCGTTTATTTGGAATCTAGGTTCTTCGTTCTCTTCTACCTCTCTTTCTCGATTCACATTTATTTTCGCTGTACTACTTCCAAAAGCCAATGATTGGTTTTTCATTATTTTTAACGGTCGAGGATACGGATTAGTTATCCAGATATGTGTTTCCCTATTTATAACATTGATCAAGCTTCTTGCTAGACGAAGTCCATTTGTTTGAAAAATTTTGCTGCTCTCCTCGATAATATATTCCCCATCCTCTGTTTCTACCAATGCCTTGATCAATTTAATGGAACATTCCGGTACTATGGAATCCTTGGCACTCTTTATGTTCAACATTTCAAAATTGATTTCGTCATGATTATTCGTCAAATCGTATTTTATAGTTTCTTGCTTACAATCTATTTTCGCGTTCATTTTCTTAAGGAAATCTCTCCCAAGAATTAATGTCCGTAAATGCGTTTTCAATATCACAAAGTTGTGTGATAATGTTTCGTCATCAATTTTTATATTTAAAAATATACTTCCTACCATGTCCAATTTTTTTCCATCGGGTCCTGCACAAATTTTCGCGAGTTTACTTATACCATGGCCTGTATCGAGGGCCGTTCTGAGGTCGACCACTGAGAGGTCAGCACCTGAATCAACCAAGGCTTCAAAAGTCCCTATCTTGTCCACATTAATTTTTAATTTGTATTTAGGGTCCAACTTCTTGATTCCATTTATGGTCGACTTGCTTTGATTGACAGATTCAGGCGCGACGTTTAGTTTAAATCTTCCAACACGGAATATCTATTCTGGGTAGGAATATTTGTCTGTGTGCTATGACATACATAAGCATAAAGCCGAGGTCCTGATTTCTCTGATATTTCATCCATTTGGCATTTCTCTTCGACCTTCTCTTGGGTATCTGTTGGATCCTCTTCTAGAATTCTTATAAACTTGACCCTACAATAACGGGCTACGTGCCCTGGCTTGTTACTCTTAAAGCAGATTGGTCTTCCATCTTTCGTCCTATTTTTGGTCACTTCTTGGCTTTTATTGTAGGTGTTTCTCTAAAGGATTGGTTTCGGCACAAAGTTAGGATTATAAGGACGTCTAGGGTTAGAGGGCTGGGGAAAGTTGTTTCGATACTGTCTAGGAGTAGGAGGGGAGTCGTTCTTGTAATTATTGGAAACGGGGCTTGGGCCTGGAAATGGTCTGGTAGTTTCGTACGGCAGTCGGAGGCACGTACCTCGATTGTTGTTGGGGTCTAGAATAGCGTGGACCGTTATATAGGTTTCTGGATTTCTCCACACGTTCCCGATACTTCTTTTCAAAAGAATCCATTTTCTTGAACACGACAAGAAGGTCATCGGTCGTTTTAGGAGGGTTCAGGTAGAGCGCGAATGAGTACTCTTTTTTCAGTCCTCCAATAACATGTTCAATATTTGTTTCTTCTTCCATTGCGGGGTCAACCTTGTTGCACAACACTAGAATGTCTTCCGCGAACCTGATTGCTGGTTCATTCCAGTGTTGCATTCTGTTGAGCTTCATTCTAAGTTCTTCTTTATTCGCATCCAAATAAAAATCCTGAATGAGCCGGATTTTAATATTTTCCCAGCTCGTGAAACTAGCTTTGTGTAAATTCAACCAGGTTTTAGCACTTCCCGTCATGTTCATGGCGGCATAACGGGCAATTATGTAGTCTGCCCAATGATAGAGGAAACCAATCTCTTCGAGGGATTCTATCCATGGGCGAGGGTCTTCTGTACCACCATATTTCGGAATTTCTATATTGGGGTTCAAAGCAACTGGTTCGAAACCAGCATCTCCACCAATTGTTGCACCAAGTTGAAGCCTTGCCGGGTCGTCGACCTTGGTTTCTTCCTTCTTGGTGTTATACACGTTTCCCGAGCGGGTTTCCATATTAAAAGTAAATAAATAAAATTAAATAAAAATAAATTACCTTTTAAAGTTATTGTGTTTATTTATTCTTGTCTTCCTCGTAGGTTGCGATCCGCAGTCTTCGTCTAGGTCCTCTCCTGCTCCAATAAGCAATAAAGATATATGTACAATAAATATTACATAAGGAGTGAAACTATAAAAAGGAATGATGCTAATCTAAATATTCTGTTTTAAATAAATATTAAATATCATAGAATATTTTGAATAAATGTAAGGCGCATTAAAATTGATGTACCAATATATATATAAAAATAAATGTATGTTTGTCTGTCCTATATGCCTGGCCAAACCACTCATTGGAACGCCATGAAACTTTGGGAAGTTATTTAGTATAGTACTGGGAAGGTTTCTAGAAAATCCAATTTTTGAAATAACCTTTCACCTAAAAAAAATCAAGATAAATATTCTAATTTTTCTGTTATAATTCAACAATCTGCTCTAAATATTATCATGATGATACGATGATTTTGTAATGTAGAAAATTAGGAAAGACAAAATTCAGGAGGAAACGGCAATTTATTTGAGACAAGGATAATGATACAATTCCAAGGCAAGATACTATTCCTTTAACTTCCAATTACCGAGGGAACCAATTAATATTGATTTAATTCAACTTATCGAGTATTTTTAAAGGACCGGGAAAAAATGTTCACTTTATCGAGAGATTCGTTAGACAAACCCTTATTCGGATAAAACCCGGTCGAAGCTGGGTACGTCCGCTAGTTAATATATTGTTGCATCATGATTAATGCGCGTATTTTTAAAAATATTTATAATAATTTTTTTAATATATTTAAAATTTAAATTATACATTTATTTATTTATATAAAACAGATTATTACTCTAAAATATTATGTACTATAAAACATTTGTATTTTGATACACTAAATACCCCACATGCTTTAAACTTTGATGTGTTAAACAAAGAGATATTCTAGGTGTCACCTAAATTTATAGTTGTCTTATTATTGACTGGTCTAACCTTGTAAGATGGTTGAGACACGTTCTGGAAAGATGCAAGACACGTCTGAGGAGAGACTCAAGACTGAAGAATCTGCCAAACCGCAGCCCAGTGCAACAATATACAGTTATCAGCGTCATGCATTCTTTCTGAATTCTGTCACCGTTTGCTTTTGGTTCAGTGGTAGAATGCTCGCCTGCCACGCGGGCGCCCCAGGTTCGATTCCCGGCCGATGCATTTTTTTTTTACAATTTTTAAAACTCATTTATATTATTAAAATATATGTGCTTTTCCTGTCTATGTACAGATTTACGCTCTATGTACACAAGTATACAAGTATGTATACAAGTTATTTGCAAATTGCGTGGCAAATTCGCCCTTTCGCCCGCAAGCAGCGCTTCTAGCGGTCAAGATGGGATGTAATATCAGCTGACCTAATGGACATGTAAAACGTGTTTTAACAGGACATAGAGAAAAATCTGGAAAATATATTTTTCGGATTTTTAGTCAAGAAAAATAAATTGACAGGTTCTGGGAAAAAGTAGTTGTTTTTTATTCAGAAAATGATGATGACAATATTGCTGTATCATATTTGATTATCAGATACAAAATTATATCCGGAAAAATCTAAAAAGCAGAGACCACGGGTGAAGCCAGTTCATTTTTAGTATGCAGGAACAAAATTCTAACAGTAAAACATTCATTCGAGCAGAAGACACAAAGCCAGATCATCTCTTTATAAAAATATCGCTTCTCTGACACAAAGTTGGGAGCGGGACGTTTCACAAGAATGACATCCACGGCGCCAATTTATAATTGTGACGAATAGTATTTGAATAAAAGCATTTAATCGGGTAAAGCCCGGGCATTGCCCTTTCTTAATCAATTCTGTCACCGTTCGCTTTTGTGAATGGAATAATTACCCAAATATGGCCATTTCTCATAACCATCGGTGGTTCAGTGGTAGAATGCTCGCCTGCCACGCGGGCTTCCCGGGTTCGATTCCCGGCCGATGCATTTTTTTTTTTACAATTTTTAAAAACTCATTTATCTACTTACATAATTGCCTTATTCTGTCTGTGTGAAGTTCACTGTGTGAAGTTCACGGATGGATTTTGGTCAGAATGGATAAAATAAAAAAGTTTCAAGGGATGGAAATCGAACCCACGACCTTCCGCTTACCGGGCAGATGCCATGACCACTAGGCTACCTTGGACATATTTTTCCGTTCATAAAGTTAATATATGATGCCAATATATAATGATTGTATGAACGAATGCAAGACAAAATCACCGCGAATATTTCTATTTACTTATATATTCACTGGCCGCGTGACCATTTAGAACCTTGCGGAAAGTTATAGGGTCATTTTTTGTGAATTTTTTTTGTTTCGATTTTATTGAAAAAAAAAACGTTATGGTGCCTTTAAAAATGATCTTTATTACTATGCAGTTTTCTATTTAGTCAATATACCTAAGTTCATGTTGCAAATGTAATTATTTCTATCGATTTAGTAGGTGAAATGCAAATAAAAATCGACATGATGAAATCTTTATGAAAATTTACATTTTTTTTTTATATTTTCAAGACACACAGTTTGGGGCGGGACGTTTCACAAGAGAGACATCCACGGCACCAATTTATAATTGTAACGAATAGTATTTTAATTAAAACATTTTAAAAACACACAGTTTGGAACGGGACGTTTCACAAGAGTGACATCCATGGCGCCAATTTATAATTGTAAGGAATAGTATTTGAATTAAAACGTTTTTAAAATATATACGCACTCGGGTAAAACCCGGGCGTTGCCCGGGCCATTCGTCTAGTATATTATACAAGAATGACATCCACGGCGCCAATTTATAATTGTAAGGAATATTTAAGAAAAAGGAGATCATATATCGCCGCAACTCTTTTTATTAACGCGATTAAAGGAAGCTTTCGGGCAAACCCTTCTTCAGCTAACTATAGTGTACAAACAAGACAAGCGAGAGAGAGATTATATATCGTTTTTAAAGAGGAATCTATGTAAATATAGTACAAAATATCTTAAAGAAATTTACCTAATTGAATAAATTTAAAGAATCAACTATAGACAGTTCAAAGGATTTAGTGGAGAGAAAAATGGAATGGCTATTGTTTTTATATGGCTTTTGAAGATTTTTTTAGGATAGAAAAGGAACGTATTGTGATGGCAACTGTATACTTTTGTTTAATGGTTTAGGGTGCTTCATGGTTTCTATTGCTTCAAGAATGAGTCTTTGGGTTTTAGTTTTGGCATTTTTATGGAGGATTCTGGTATTATTGAAGTCTGGAGTATGTCCGGTTTCTCTTATGTGGTCGACTATTAAAGAGTTTGGGTTAAGTTTGGAAATGTTTCTTTGGTGTTCTTTGATTCTGATTGAAAGATCTCTTGATGTTTCGCCGATGTAGACACTATTTCAGTTGAGGCAGGGAATTTGGTAAACTGAATATTTTTTCGGTTTCTGGTCGGTGCTATTGGTGATTGGGTTTCTTAGAATCGAGGCTATGGAAGGTGAACTTCTAAAGATGGTTTATGCCAAAACCTTTAAGTTTGCGGGCTATTGTAATTGTAGATTCTGTATATGGTAAGTAACAGGTGGAGATGTAATGATATGAGTTATTTCTGGAGTTCCCTGGTTTATATCTATTTCTTTTAATGAAAGGAAACGGATATCCAGATTTAATAAGCTGGTTTTCGATAAAATTAAGTTCTTTATTGTATTCTATTTTTGATGAACAGTGGGTGAAGGCTCTTTTCGTCAAGGTACGAACAACTGTTATTTTGTGGGAGATGGAAGAATTGAAGGCAAAATGTAGGTACTGCGTTGAGGAGGTAGGTTTTCTATAAACTTTTGTTGTAAAACCGGTTCTATTTCTGTTAAATAAAATGTCAAGGAATGGCAGACTTCTTTTATTTTATTTTTCTATTGTAAATTGAAGAGTTGAGTTAAAGCTATTGAGGGTTTCTAGGTTCCGGGTTTCCCCGGAAACAATCACTTCATTGTCAACCTATCTGAATATGAACTCAGCCCATCAGATATTTCCTTGTTAAACAAAGGTCTATCATACTGTCCGATCAAAAAAGTGCTTTTACCCCAAATCATTAGCTACATAGAATCCGCCATACATAACATATCGAATAATAATATATACATGATCAGAAATTTTGTGGCTTCCACACTAGCCCCCACACCCAGTAATCGCATATCCCAGCAAAATAAAAAATAAATAAATAAAAAATCAATCGTTGCATCAATAAAGAAATCCTTATCTTAAATAATCTATACAAAAATAAAAACATCACAATCTCTCGAGCAGACAAAGGCGGATCTGTTGTAATCTTAAATACTGAAGACTACATCAATAGAATGAAAACGCACCTGAATAATACCGAATTCTTCATTAAAATATAGCCACAGAAAGCATCAAAATCAATAACTGCTTTCAAAAAATCTATACATCAACTCCTTAAAACCCAAATTATCGATCAGTCCTTAAAGAAACAAATTCTGGAAAACCCTGGAATCCACCCATATATTTACGGCCTTCCTAAAATCCATAAGAAAAACACCCCCCTCAGACCAATAGTCGCCTATAACCAATCACCAGCATATTTTCTCTCCAAACATCTAGCCAATAGACTTTCTGGAATAACCAAAAATCTACCTTATATTGTTAAAAATCCTGAAGAAATTCTACAAAAAATGAAGAATTTCAAATTGAAAGCCGGTCACCGAATCGTTTCATATGATGTAAAAGACCTATACACAAGCCTTCCGCACGACTTAATAATGGACTTCCTACAAACTATCCTAATAAAACATAAAGAAGCATACCCGGACCACCTTGCACCCTGAAACTTACCGAAATCTATTTAAAGAGCACAACAGTTAAATTCACAGGAGAACACTACAACCAAATAAAAGGCACACCGATGTAACGCCCACTTTCTACAATTCTAGCAGAAATAGTTCTCTCCACCATTGACTCATGGATCACTGAAGCAAAACCCAACGAAATATTAACCTGGTCAAGGTACGTCGATGATATTTTTTGCATAATCACAGAAAACAGTGAAAATCACATCCTAGAAACCCTCAATAGCCTTAACTCATCTATTCAATTTACAATAGAAAAATAAAATAAAATAAGTCAGCCATTCCTTGACATTTTATTTACCAGAAATAGAACCGGTTTTACAACAAAAGTTTATAGAAAACCTACCTCCCCAACGCAGTACTTACATTTTGCCTCCAATTCTCCCATCTCCCACAAAATAACAGTTGTACGTACCTTGACGAAAAGAGCCTCCACCCACTTTTCATCAAAAATAGAATACAATAAAGAACATAATTTTATCGAAAACCAGCTTCTCAAATCTGGATATCCGCTTCCTTTCATTAAAAGAAATAGATATAAACCAGGGACCCCAGAAATAACTCCAATCATTACATCTCCACCTGGTACTTACCATATACAGAATCTACAATTACAATAGCTCGCAAACTTAAAAGTTTTGGCATAAAAACCATCTTTAGAAGTTCACCTTCCATAGCCTCGATTCTAAGAAACCCAATCACCAAAAGCACCGACCAGAAACTGAAAAAATATTCAGTTTACCAAATTCCCTGCCTCAACTGAAATAGTGTCTACATCGGCGAAACATCAAGAGCTCTTTCAATCAGAATCAAAGAACACCAAAGAAACATTTCCAAACTTAACCCAAACTCTTTGTTCGGTTTTAGATTTGAGTATTGTATTTATTTTGACTTGAGTTATTGAATGAATGAATGAATAAAGTATTTGTAAAGAAATAGACTAGATTTTAGTTAATTAATGAATGAATGAACTCTTTAAAGAATAGATTAGGTTTATTACCACGACTTTGATTACAACAATAATAATGGTAGGAGATTAAAATATCAACAAAACACCAACAGTGCCAAATAATAAAAATAAACTTCACAGATTAAATAAAATAAATTAATTAATGAAAACAAAATGAATTTAAAAAATGCAAATAAATGAATAAATGAATATTTACAATTGACTCCAACATACTCCCCCACAACCTTGAACTATATTTCAGTTCAAGAGCTCACTCCTTGTAAGGCAGAGGACATATCTTGGTTATTGGTCTCTTCAGAAGGCCTTTAGGGGTACGAAGAAGCACCACTCTGACATGATCATCTTCTCCTGGGAATATCTGGACAATTCTCGCCAGTTTCCATTGTAGTGGTTTGTTTTGTTCTTTCAACATAACCAAATCTCCATTGTTGACATCCGGATGTGAAGTCCTCCACTTCCTTCTTTCTTGGAGTTGATGTAGGTATTCACAGCTCCAACGGTTCCAGAAGTAGTCTCTTTGAGGTTGAATCAGACTCCATCTGGAGCGAAGATTCAAAGTAGAGTGATCAGACTCCGCATCATGTCGCATAGCATTTCCTATAAGAAAATGTCCTGGTGTTAGCGCTGTTAGGTCATTTGGATCATTGCTAACAAAGGTTAATGGTCTGGAGTTAAGACAGGCTTCAATTTGAGCCAATAAGGTCAGTAACTCCTCGTAGTTCAACAACCTAGATTTCATCGTTTTAGATAAGATGGTTTTAACTGATTTAATGCCAGCTTCCCATAATCCACCAAAGTTAGGTGCCGACGGAGGAATGAAATGCCAATTAATGGATTCTATGGCTGAAAAATCTTGAATATTAGCAGCCTTGAACAACTTCCATCGTTCTTTCAAAATGTTGCTTGCACCCTTAAAGTTAGTTGCATTGTCTGAGTATATATCAGTTGGTCTTCCTCTTCTAGAGATGAATCTTTTCAATGCTGCAAGAAAGGTTTCCGCAGTCAAATCTGATGAAATTTCTAAGTGAATGGCTTTGGTGGTGAAGCAAACGAATAGGACTATGTAGAATTTGAAAATAACTTTGCTTCGTTTCAGCATAGGTTTAGCTTGAATGGGACCGGCCAAATCAATACCAATCCTT